GAGAAAACACAGCTAATAGTACTCCAAAGGGGCAAAACTAGAATCAAAGTATGGATTTTAAAGCCTGGCACAGCAGTTTAAAATTTGAAGAATGCCATCATTATTTTAATAAAATAATTTTCAGTTTTATTTTGTTTTCCCAATTACCCTCCCAGCAGTGGAATAATATGTGTAACTTTTTCTAGCTGCTGGGGAATTTTCTTAGCACTTTGTGGAAACTGTTGGCTTTCAGAAATGGACAGGCTGATTTGAACCAAAAGTTAGGCAAATACAGAATTGCAACAACAATAAAAAGCAACTTAGAAAGAGGATCAAGCCAAGCAGACAAGCAAACTCTATAAAATCAGTTTTCTGGGATTATTCATCAAGTCAGTTCTCTAATTTCAAAAAGCAAAACCAAAGCAAAGCATGTTGACTTACATTGCTTCTTCAGTTCTTTCAGCTGTTGTTTAAACTGTACAAATTTTTCATTATTTTGAAAATCTGCATCAGAATTCTTGTTCTGTAAAGCCAAAAATTTCTTCTCCACTAATGATTTTAAATCTGGTATTTTTTCTGGACGTTCTTCTTTTACCTAAGGAAGACAACAAAATTACCTCAGTTAAATGTTAATAATAAGTTTTGAACCACCATTTTTATCTCGTATAAGTCAAAGAAAAAGATAACAAGGTAGAAAACAATTCCCTGAACAGAGAACCAGAGAGGCTGGGACTTGTTCCAGAACAGACTGCTGGTAAACATTGAAGGGAATAACTCATCCCATCTACTCATCCTACTTTTTAGCTTTCTTAAGGTATTGGCCTTTCAATGATCCTACTAACTTACTGTCTTCCATGAGTACCAGAGAAAATCGCAAACGTGGCAATTTCACCAGAACCTGAGCATCATCACTTTTTCCTTTACCTAGGTCTGTTAGGTCACCTCTCCCACTTGCAACCATGGTTATTCCATCCCTTCATTCTCAATGCTCCTATTTTTCTGGCCCTCTGCTCCAGTAGGTGAGACCGACTCTTACTTAAAAATGAAGTTGAAGCTCTAACCTTGACCTCCCATAATTTTCTGCCACAACAAGGAATTAGTGCCCCCTTGTTTTGTTGAAAGCTAAACTCTCAACCCATGTTCTCCCCGCACATTATAAAATTATTTCCCAGTATTACAAAATGTTCAAACATACAGAAAAGTTGAAGGAATTGTACTGTGAATGCCCATTCATCTACTTCCCATATGCCACAATTATTAACATTTTGCTGTTTGTGCTATCACATTATCTATCCATCGATCCCCCTCTATCCATCCTCAACCTTGTTCTTCAGTTTGTCCTTAATTGCATTCTCTTCATCTCCATTCAAACAAACTTTCCCTCTCTATAGTCTCTTTGCCCCAAAACCTTTACATTGGCTCTTCACTTCCAAATTTTAAAACAAACGACCTCTTATAATCCCTGCTCCCTCCCCTCAGTTATTTTCTGTTAATATTCCACCTCCTTGGGAAAAAGGAGCCACTGTTTCCACTTCCTCACCCTCCAGCTGTAGCCACTACAATCAAGCTGCTGCCCCGCCACTCCACTGCCAATGCTCTGTGTCAGGCCTTCATAATCGGTCCCTTTCACCACCGGCCCTTTCCTGATGCTCCTGCTGCCAAGTAAAACTCACCAAACTCTCCACTGTGCCCAGAAACATCTTTGACAGACTTCTTCCACAGCCTCCGTAATATACAATTGCTCTTACTTTTATATGTCTTTCCCCTAATAAAATGTAAATGCTTTGAAAGATCCCTGATTTATCACTGTACTGCCAGTGCCCAGCACACAGTAGGTAGTATTCAATATATGTGTTGCAAATAAATTAATCTCATTAGCTCCAAATGTACTTACTTATCCACTAAAAGCCACAATTTATCAGCTGTTATTATTAGTAGTAGAATATATAGTACAATTTCTGGGCTGGAAGACAACTTAGAGATCACTTAATCTTGAGCTCCTTCTTCCCCAGTTTCACAAATAAATAAAATGATATAAAAAGAAGTAAAATGACTTATCTTCTACCATCCAATTAATTAGAAGCAATGCTAAGACTACAAGTTAGATTCAGAAAATTATTGGTTTTGGTTCTAGTCAGTCTAGTTCCAGTCATATATTCCTGATGTCTCTGAATCTGAGTATCAACGCATATGAGGTCAAAAGAATATCTGCAACTTATCTGCTTTGATTAACTTTTGTCATGGAGAAAAATTATACAATCTTCTTTTGCTTAATTGCTATGCATTTTGATTAGCTAAATTGAAAATGAGAAATAAGCATGAAACTAAAATGCCTAAAATTTATATTTATAGTACAGAGTGTAAGAACTGACTTTTCTCCTTGTATTGATGATACTCAACCAGTGCTGGATTCACCATTAAAGAGAATCATGAAAAACACAGAGAGGCTTTAATGACAAGTGTTATATGTAATTAAAAATTTGAAATAAGTTACATAAACCTTAAGAACCACTAAAGCTCAATTTGGAAAAGAGAAGAGAGAAAGGCAACTTAATAATTCCTTATGTCTCAAGAATAAGAGCTATTACACATGGTGACTAGCTATCATCTAACCTCTACATGATAGAACAAGTTCAAACAGGTTCAAAATCTTAGCATGAAGAGATCAGAGTAGACCTAGAAAATAAATTGCTGGTTCTTAGAAATGGATTATAGGCTCTCTTTCCGGATTTATAAAATAAAATGAACTCATATCTACCTAAGATGTTAACAATAACATTACAGAAGGCATTCATGTGAGCCTTCTACAGATCTTTGATCAGTCTGAAATTACTGTTTAATGTGGGATGATCAGAAAACATCCCATCTGAGCAGATGATAAGTAAAATTCAAATGTTCTTTTCCAGTAAAGTCTCTAACCAGTCAACATACTCAATTTTCCTAGTTCAACTACAACCACTGCTCAAGAGTTGAACTAAAGATTGGGTAGGGAGTAAGGGAGAAGGATGGAAGGGATAGGCATTTTGAAGTTTGATAACATGACAACCTGAAATATTATTAGGAAAAACAGAATAAACCAAATATAATGATTCAATGTATTTTTTCCCATAGTCAGAGCCTCCAGAAAATTGCTGTAAAGCACAAAATGCACTGCTGTAAGTATCTTGTCTGAAAGTGTGACACTGCAGTTGGCATGGTTATTCACTGCAAAGAGAACTTACTGTATTCTAGCTATAAAAATGAGCATAAAAAAATTCAACTATCTCTTTAAATCAATAAAGTAAATGAGCATGATTTTAAATGGTTTCTTGCTTTGTTTATATTTTTAAGAGAAATGGATAAAAGGGAAGGTAGAAAAATTCTTCAAGTAGCTGATCATGCATGTTATCTAGCATGAAAAAGATAAAGATGGCCCTCTTTTCCTAGGACAAATTTCTAACACCTCAAAGAAATTTAAGATCGGAGGAGAAGATTTATTAGATCATTAGGTCCATCCCTTTCCCAAGAATAAAGTCCTTAGATACAGGACTTAAAACCTGTAAATTAAAAGACACTAGGTATATTACTTTACTAGGGCTACTGTAACAAAGCACCACAGACTTGGTGGCTTAAGTAACAGAAATTTATTTCCTTACAGTTCTAGAAACAAGAAGTCCAAGATCAAGGCATCAGCAGGGTTGGTTCCTTCTGAGGCCTTTCTCCTTGGCTTATACATGGCAGTCTTCCCCTGTGTCATCACATGGTCTTCCCTCTGCGAGGGTCTGTGTCTAAATTTCCTCTTATAAGGGCACCGGTCATATTGGATTAACACTCACTTAATGAACTCATTATTAATTACCTCTTTAAAGACCCTATCTCCAAATATAGTCCCATTCTGAGGTACTGGGGAGTAGGGGTTTAACATACAAATTTTGGAGAAATACGATTCAGCTAACACACTTGGTTAATGAAAATCAGAATTTTCAAAACAGCTATAGGTTATTAATCTTTACACCATTATAATTTTTAAAAATGAGAGCAGCTACCGAGAAGTAAACAGCAGGCATAATGCTTACGTAATGAAAATGTAATACTGCCCTTGGGAGAGAAAAGATCAGGTTTTCTGCACTACCCACTTACCCTTTCAGTATTCAGTGAGTGCCCTCTCTGCCCTAAGCACTGTAGCTAAAAGGAGAGAAGACCAGAAAGGTCAACTGGGGGCAGACGGTGAATGGCTCTGGGAGCCAGTCTATGGAACTGAGACCTGATCTGACAGACAGTAGAGAAAAAGACAGTGTAAGATTGTAAGGAGTAAAGTACTAATACCGTGAGAATTTTTTTTAAAAAAATGATTACTACAGTTAAGGCCTGAGGGATGCATGGCAGACAGGGAGGGAGATGGAAGCTTCTGCCATCTGTTAACTGATGGCAGAGGGGCTGGCAACTTGGTCAGGCTGGGATGCTATTTTTGAAGCAGAATCGCTGAATCGCATTGTGAGAGGAAGACAAGGGATTGATGATGCCTCTGAGGTATTTAATGCGGACAACTAGTCAAATGCCATTTTCTTGAGGAAAGCAGTGGGCATCACTGAATCTGCATGAAACCTAAGTGGAGCTGTCTAGTAAGCAGCTGAAAAGAATTTTAAAACGAAGGCATGGGAAGGAAAAAGGAGAGAGATGCAAAGGAACTTCAACAGAAGTAAAAAAGAAAACCAGGAATGAGGCATGCTACAGAAGAAAGGAAAGAGAAAATTTCCATAAAAGAAGTGCTTGTCCTTTGGAAAAAGGATGCAAGAAAGCTCAAGTAAGAAAAGAGTTAAAAAGGAACCACTGGATTTAATCATGAGGCGCTTCACATGCTGCACTGGAACTACCGATCCGTGAAGCTTCTCTCAGGCAAGGTTTATTTCCCTGGAGCCTGGCACGCTGCCTGTTGCACAGTCGGTGCTCAGATGACATGGATGAACAAGTGAAATACGGGAAGGCCAAATTATACTGTGTTGAGACGAGAAAAGGGAGTAAAAGAGTTCTGTGTGAACGAATGAATGAAGTTTGGTAGCAAAGGAAGAACACAAGATGAGAGGCAGATCATGGGGAAGAGAGAAGTAAAGACACTGGTTTATTGGCATGGAGGATAACAATGGCTTGAAGTGAAGCTGACATGAGGGAGGGGAAAAAACGTGGACCTTGGGATGAGACAAATCTGGTCTGGGTGGTGGATCATTAGCCAATCCTTCTGGGCCTTGGATTTCTCTCATCTCTTAAGAATCAGAAACATCCAATGCTGCGAAGACATGACTAGATCATGCTTGTGTTTAACTATGGCACATAATAGATTATCAAAAAATTTTATTCTTTTCCTTCCAACTTCAGCACAGAGACTTTAATATGTTTATGGACTGAGAAAAAGGAGCCTATAAGGAAACATAAATAAGAAACACTAAAAGCAAACAAGTGACAGATTTCATTTAAGAAGACCATTCAAGTACTAGGGCAAAAACCAGAGAAGACTGTGACCAGCTGAGAAAGCAAGACAACAGTCTTCACCAGGTGTCGTGAACGCCTACAGGGCTAGAGAAGCAAGGATACGTGGAAACCTACAGTAAGTGCAGGACA